ACATAAAAGAATCACACAGACTATACTCTAGATCATGAGTATCCATAATATTAAGTCAAATAAATTATATGGAATATGTTCTCTGAATACAGATGCATTAATTAAGAAACTGCATAAAGTTGGGAATCAATCAATATAGTTTTTAAAAACAAGTTAGCCTCTCCTCAATAAACAAAAACAACCCCAAAACCAACAATCAACAAAACACCAAAACCAACCATGAAATCCTACAGAGACAACTGGAAACATTTTTTAACTGAATGTAGATAAAAACAACATATTAAATTTTGTGAAATAGTTAAAACAAAAAGGAAAGGACTCACTAACTTACTAGCATGTAACTGAGCTGAACCTACTTGATAATAATGTAATGGTTAAACATGGTGGTTGTAACAACATTTTAAAAATGTGCTTCTTTGCCAATTATTATTGAGACTCTTCTTAAAAGTGAAGAATGGTGTTGGGTTGCTTTGAACATACTGAGAAAGGAAAGATGGAGCCCATCTAGATAAAATTAAGGTCTGTACTCAAATGCCAAAGCCAAGATGGAAGGACTATAAGGGCTTTGTACATGTAGGCAGCAAGATCCCTTCTGGACTGGATGATCCCAGGAGGCCATCTCAAAGATTCCATTTGCCCTTGGCCAGAAACTGGCACAGGACAGATCTGTGGGAATGGCAATGAAATTCAAGGCAGGGATCTAGATTGGACCAAATGTGCAAAGTCCAAATGTGCAGGCAGCAAGTTTCGAGAACTTCAGATCACTCTGCTTTACAGCACAGAAGACATGTGGAAGAGGAAGCTGGAGACTCCACTGTGAGGTACAGCAAGAAAGAAGATGTAGGTTTGAATCCTGAATCTAACTGGGGATTGTGACCATGGCCAAACTGACTTCCCTAAAACCCATTCATTTCCTTGTCAACAGCCAAGAAACAATGTCTGTCTGACACTCCTTGTTGCTGTGTGGAAGCACCTGCACTATATATACCATGAAGAACTGTATTAGTACAAAGCAACGGAATGAACTTAAAGCAGAGTTGTGACTGACTGACAGGCACAGGCGCTGGAGGAAGATGAATGACACCCTGGTGATGCAAATGTTGGAAGAGAAATGAAAGAATGCTAGAAGGAGACTCTAAAGACTACAGGCAAGGAGCAACAAGGGCCTGGACCAGCATGGCTGCAGCAGCAATCAAAGGAGCCCTGTGAGAGGGACGCACGACAACTGAGAATGAGACGGAGAGGTGGGGACGAGGAAAGCAAAACCAGATCTGAGACAGGGGGTGTCCAGGAGAATTCCAATTCTCAAACACTGAAGTAAGAAACTAGGGTTGATCTGGATGCAGAAGATACAATGCCTCTCAACTGACTTTTACCCATCCTCTAAGACACAGCTGACTTTTAAAATATTGACAAAGTGGGCATCAAAGAAAATGATTAATCATGGAAATTATGCATCTATTCAAAAAGCATCGCCAAGTCATTATTTGCAGTTACACAATTGTCAATCAGTAAAACATTGCATCCAAATGTCACCTGATAATTTCTAGCTTGCATGAGTCTTAATGCATGTATGTTTGTATTAGACGGTTGAAATAATGCAAAAAATCATGAAGGCAGGCACCACGGAGAACTGCTACTGGGTTTTTGTGGATGTGCTAGAATTCTTCATCAAACAGATGAACCAGCTGGGGCTGAACCAGCAGTCAAAGGTTAGGATAAAAAGGGGAGAAAAAAAAATTAAAAAGATCAGCCTTGAAGCAGGGGGAAATGCAGTCCATCATGAAAGCCTGGTCACCTGACTCCATCACCTGATTCCCAGACATGAACACCATTCAATAAATATAGTATAAATACAGGTTGTGCCTTGCGTTTGGATTAATTCCATGTCAGCTGTTGTTTCAGAACTCACTACCTTTGGTCACCAGGCTGAAAAGATTTCATGTCACTTCAGAAGAGCCACTAGCATGTAGTTGGGCCTGGTCCACTAGGTGACAGGATGACCATATTTTATGTTTTAATACAGTGATTAGAAAAATACATTTAAAAATGTTAACTACAATTTGCTTCAGTTTGAAATGAAAATGATTTCGCAATATAACAGTCAGCATGAAACTGGATCATTATAACTCAACTCAATGGGCAAAGGTTTTTTGGTATGAAGTGAGAAGCAAAAGTCTTCCCAGGTTTATCTAAGGTACTTTTCAAGTCAATCACAAGTTCTGTTAGAGATCTGACACGACAACTTTTTGCTACAAAATTTCTCCCCAGAATGTGGTTAGTTTTAAAAGTGTCCATGCTAACTGGCATCCTGGGAGTAACTGCCTCAACATTTTTGCTGTGGCATGTGGAAGCAAACCTCAAAAGGCAATAAAAGGAAGGGGTGAGGGGAAGAGAAGTGGCTGGAGAGGCTCCAGAGAACTCACCCGTGCAAAGTCAAACGCGTATCTGTAAATAAGTTTAAAGTTTGTAGAATCATTTAATAATGATCTTAAGTAATCCAAAGTAGTTCTTAGTTTTTCTGTTGTATCACATCTAGAAAAACAGAATAAAGGCAAATTACAACCTGAGTAGGTTTTTTGTTTAAATTTTTCTCTTCTCAATTGGGACAGTAATATAAATCATGACAGCAAAAGGGAAGAAGAAGAAGAACCAAACAAATGTCAAAATGATTAGCATGAGTGCTAACTGATTTTTCTATACTTTTTCTTTAAAGTCTTCAAGTACATACAAGAGTGGAAAAAGTAAATATTAAACACTCCTATACCCACACCCTACATTTGCCAATGAACACCCTGTCCCATTTGTGTGCACTTTCTCACACATAGCTGCAACTGGTTTCTGAACCATTTGAAAGTTAGTAGTCCTTAAGTACAAGGGCATTTTACACAATCATAATAAATCCCATCCCTACTCTTAAGGGGTCCCAATATTATCTTTCATATCTAATACATACAAATTTCTCAAGAGTCTCCTAAACTTCCTTTACAGCAAATCCTTTTCAAACCAGGATTCAACCAAGATTGTGCACTGCTTTTCTTTGTCCTGTTCTCATCGTAGAAGACTATTATGTCTTTTAAGGTCTTTCTTGCCATTGTAATCTTTTGAAAGATCAAGGCTAGCTGCTTGTGGAATTTAAATTTGCTAGCTAATGTCCCATAGGAGCTGCTGTCTGGTGCCTCAAAAATGGCAAAGATCGCGGGGATGGTACAGAACTCGGCAGAGTTCCATTCTCTCATTGTTATGGGCAGAGCCAACTAGACAGCACCCAGCAGCATCAATACGTAGGTCTTCTTGCAACATGACCAAAGTATGTCAGACTGAGCTTCAGAATCCTTGCCTTTTAAAATTTTATTATTATTATTATTATTAATTTTAATGAAAGTTTACAGAGACTGAAGATTTCCATTCATGCACTGTTCCACTTTTGTCCCTGCCCACCCCACCCCTCCCCCTAATTCCCTCTTCTCTTTGAAAAGTAAAAGAAAAAATTCTTTCATTGTTATACAATCCCTCCCCTAAAGTCTACTCCACTTTGTTTGGACTCCTGTCATGACAATAATACCTAATCACATATCCCTTTTAAACAGTATTCTCCCTCATCTGTTTCAATGCAGTATACATTATTTATTCCATCTTTCTCAGTCTCCCAACACCGATGTCAGTCCTGTTTTACAACAGTGGCACTATGCAGTATTTGTCCTTTTTGTGACTGAGATATTTCACTCAGCATAATGTCCTCCAGGGTCACCCATTTTAAATAATACTACATGAGTTCCTTGTTTTTCAATGCAGTGTAGTATTCCAATGTGTGAATACACCACAGCTTCTCCATCCATTCATCTGTTGATGGGCACTTAGGCTGTTTCCAACTCCTTGCTATTGTGAACAAAGCTGCGATAAACGTGAGTGTACATATCTGTGCTTGGTTGTCAGTTACGGTCTCTTTGGGGTATATTCCCAGTAATGGAATTGCTGAGTCAAATGGTATCTCTATTTGCAACTTTTTGAGAAAGCGCCATACCGCCTTCCCCAGTGGTTGCACCATTTTACACTCCCATCTTCAGGTGAATAAGGGTTCCAGTTTCTCCACAACCTCACCAGCATTTGTTGCTTGCTGTTCTGTTAAATTTTGCTATCTTACTGGGGTGAGATGATATCTCATAGTTGTTTTGATTTGCATCTCTCTTAGAGCTAGGGATTTTGAACATTTCTTCATGTGCTTGTTAGCCATCTAAATGTCTTCTTTGGTGAAGTGTCTGTTCCTACATATCCTGTGCCCATTTTTCAATTGGATTGTTTACCTTTATCTTTTTGTGGCACTCTGTGTTGTGTCTCAAGTCATTTCACCATGAGGTCATACCAGTTTATCCCATTACTGGCAATACTGTGTCAGAGTATTCTGTAAACACACTGTGTCTCCAGAATGTTCAATGAATACATCCCTTGGGAAAATTAATAATCTGAGAGAAAATACTTTGAGACTGTGAATATCCTGTTCTTTTTTTTTAAATTTAGGTTGTTTATTTTTCATTTCAATGAACATCTACAGAGATTTTGGGATTCCATTCATTCATTGTTGCACCCTTCTCCCCG